CTCTTTCCACTTTATATTCAGCAAGAGCTCCGATATAAAGGAAATATATACACATAACGATCCTTCCCTTTTCTCACTCTCGTTTCCTTCCTCCGGGTTCTCCAGTTCCTTCCTTGACACTAGAGAAACTTCCGAAGTTTCAACAGTCGAGATAATGCCCCTTTATTAATGACCCCGGCATTAATGTAGAATGAAATTATGAATACCATCACCGAACACCCAGTCACATTTGATAAATTGTCTTACCAGAGATCACAGTAGATGTAGAGGCTACTTACCAACTGTTCGTTTAATAGAAAAATTATACCGTCCCATTGTTAGAAAAATAGATAACAATAATATTCACCCATATTGAGATTTGCAAGTTTTTGAAACAATAATACAGCTGATTATGTTACAAATCAATTGATGACTTTAGGTAAAAATGGTAACAAAAGTTTTGAGATAAATCTCATAACTATTTTCCATCACTAAAAGAGATGGTTGTCATTGCTGAGTGTTTATTCAAGTATAAATACAATTCTTGTAGAAAAACTTTTGTGAAATGGTGTACAAAATCGAAATCGAAAAATGAATCTGATATTTAGTGGACTGAATGTGAAAAGCGAAAATTGCAGACATACTTATTTAAGGACCTTGCATCTCCCATGCAATAATCTGTCTTTTTCAAGGAATTTAAGGAAGAAATGCCTTGTTCGAACTTATCAAAAAGAGGAAGACATATCGGATCTTGACTAATATAAGAGAGAGAAAGTGCAATAGAAAACGTTGGTGAATCTACACCAGGATTAGGATGACGTTCTAAAGTTTAACATATATGACTTCACATCGGAAAATTAAGAGAAGTGGAATGCCATTCAGGAAAACAAGGAAAAGCCCAAAATGCACAGATTCGCAGTGGGACCGAATTGAACTAAGAATTCAGCACTTTTAGATGCACTGAGATAAAGACTATGACAGATTCTATACCGAAAATCCTTTGGATAATTTGAAATACAAAAGAAAAATAAAGTTTAGAGATTAAATATTATTGTGGTGTTCCATTTCTCCTGAGGTGTAGGTACCACATCTAGGGCGTGTGACAGGAAAAACCTGCACTGTATCAGGCTCATAATGTCCCATTTATTGTACCCAGAGAAGATAATCCATCATATTAAAGGTGTTAATTGTGGAAAAATTGTAGCTTAGTATCTGATATTTCTGGTATCAGGAAAGAAAATTAGCTTGGCGAAAGAGAAAACTGCATGAGTAATGCATTATAATCGAAAACAAAGTCGCTCAATATCAATCTTAGGTAAATTTATAGATATAAGACCAATACCAAAACTACCTGTATTGATTAAGGGTTTGGTAATCATATAACGTCATAACTGTCGCGTACTATACACATATGTACTAAAATAGATCATCATTTGGTAACTACGCATTATATCCCAAAATACAATACAATAGTAAAGATTAGTTGACTGTTTTGATGAAAATGAAAAGTGCACGTTATAGACTTAGACAGAAACATTGATCGATACAAGTGATTCTCAAAGTTCAACGGTTGAAAGAAAGCATTAAAAAGATATATGGGTGCAGGTGGTAGTGGGTGGATGTGTCGTCTCCAAATTGACTAAGTTACAAAATTAGCGACTTAGTAGTAATTCGATGGAAGGTAATAGTTTGTTGCAAACGACTGCGTTTAGTGAGGGTGTTCCAGGTAATCAAGAAAACAATATAGAGCAACCTGCTGTGCAGTATAATGAGGATAGAGGGCAGGAATGGGGGGATAACTCTCTGCCAGGTCCTGCCGGGATAAAACTGGATTATCTCCGTACTCGATCCGCTCGCAGAAACGGCTGAAAATCTGTGTTGCAAAACCCGGATAACCGACGTGAAGTTATTTATTGCTGGCATAATTAAATTTTGTAAAACCTCTTCACTCTACTTCATGCGTTCGCCACTTTATTACTTGACCTTTCCACGGTACACGAAACAATGAAAAATTACAATGAATGGGTGCTTTTTTACAAAGGATTATTTATAACAGTTGGTGGTAAAAAAAAAAGGAAACGGTGAATATCAATAGAAAATCTCGATTAGTATATATTCACACTAGACTTACTCAGTCATTTTACTGAAAACATCCCTGTACTTTTATTAGTTATGTGGACAGTGTCACGAGGAACTATTTCGTCATTTTTGAGCTTTCTTATTCACACAAAAATGGAATATATTCATTGTTATTCCATGTCTCGGATATCATAATTATTTTTTCATGTGTTGATCAAAGATATACAGTCTCATAAGCCCAATCTCTCAATCAACCGATAACCCTATACCAGGGATGGCGAACCTTTAAGTACCGTCGTGCTATTTTTATAAAGAAAAGTTTAATCAGGTCATAGACGTGCCATCAAATAATTTTGTCTCTATGATTATTGGAAAAATAATGATAATAAATAATATCAAGTCAAAATTCTACAAGAAAATAGGAACATTTTGCAATGTTTAAATTATACGTGTAATTTAAATTAAAGTAAAATTAGTGTGACTTCTGTTTTTGCAGATTAGATCACAAATAACTTATGTTAGGGTTGTAAGATGTTAATTTTAGCAAAATGCATGCTCAACTGGAGTCATCTACCAAACGGTTTGTAACTGCGAGTTTTTGATGTTATTAATCTCTGAAAATGATGACTCGCAGGCATAGGTTGATGAAAACATTATTAAAATATCTTATGCCAGCTTTTTCATAAAATTAAATGTGTTTTTTATCGCATTCCATGTTTCCAAAATTTTGTTATTAGCATTTTCACTTGTATTACCCGTCGATCTTTCTGTTTCAATTATTTGTAACTCTTTCCTTGTTCTAACAACTTTTTGAATCATATTGAACTAGACTGGAAATCAATCAGCTGCATTTCAGATTCGTCAATTTATTTTATCAAATGTCACATCAGGGTACATAATAAACTTTCGTATTAGTATTTCTGATAATTCTCTGAAGTGAGAAAATCTTGCTGAAAATTCCTTTATTAAAGAACCAATGACAGAAACATTAGTGACGTGCCCAAAATATTGTATCGCGTGCCATTGGTTCGCCATCCCTGCCCTATACTATACAATTTATTTTAAATAATAAACATGTAAGGCAAAATGTTTGCCGAACATAGAAATTATTTCATCTTTCTTTGTCTGCATTTTTCTTTTTATATTCGAAAATGGTTAAGTTGTTTAACGTGTAGAATATGATTTTTAATAACCTCTATCTGAAAAACATCACCCGCTTCTCCGAAAACTATATCCTAAACTATTAACCAAACTATCAAAACGAAGCAGTGTAACACTCCTTAAAGGATGTAAGTTGCATTTATTTTATTATTCATGTGAAAGAAGGCTGAAGATATTTATACGAATTTCCCTATATCATGTGATGGTCCAATGATGATGTCCTTTGACGACTGCAAGTACAGAAACATTGTTTTTGTACGATCGATCGATTTAAGAAGAAGCCTTCCAAATTTTTTCATCCGAACTAATTAAAACTAAACACATGTCAGTATTATTCCAGTTGCATCCAGAAAATTGAACATCAATTTGCAGACGTTTACGAACAGTTTACTTATATGAATTTAACTAACCCAAAATAATATTCATTTATAATTTAACCCTAGTAAACGTATTTTATTCAAATAATTTACACTCATATTAGGTAAAAATATAAGCGACAAAGTTGTAAATCAAAATCAAAACAACAAATGGCTAAGGGCAGTTTCCAAATCAGACGAAATAAAAATAAAAATATCGAATGTTCGTTTATAGACGTTGTTTCCTTTTATCTTAACGATCGTTCTATTATTCTCCCGAATGGTTTTTCAGAAAGGTTTAATTTAATTCCTGTTCCGAAAAATAATAGCCATCATTTCCAATTCCCGTCGTTTTTCCGGCGAAACCGATTTAGCCGTTCCGGAACCTTGGACTCCGGGGACTTCTTATCACCTTTATCATTGAATTGGCTAATAGATCTCCTTAATAGTTTCCACCAAAAGAGGGGAAAATTACGGTTATTGTAATGACATCCTTCTTTTTTATAAGCTCTAACAACTCACACTTGTGTATTTCTATTTTCTTTTTTCATTCAAAATCGAACGTCATCGTCATATAAATTGGAATCGATAATGATCCAAGATCCCAACGTTTCACGACTTAAGTACCAAATTCGTATTCACAATTAAAAAACCGAATGTTATATCAAATTTAAGGGATGAATTTTAATTCAGTAACCTACTCAATATTATTATATTAGAAATGAAGAAATATTAGAAAGAATAGGAGAACAGAAGACTCTATAGAAGTCAATAAGAAATATGAGACATACCAGAGGCAGAAATGGGAGTTAGGAGGGGTAGAGGTAGACCTAGATTAGATTACTGTTCACAAATACTTAAGGATGTGGGTTGTTCTAGTTTTAGGGAAATGCGAAGTCTTAGGGTTGACAACCTTATGATGATGACCTACCCTACTTTAAAACTATATTTAAGATAGATTCACTCAAGCACCTTTATTGATTTTAATCTAAATGTATCTAATGAAAAGTCTTGACTGACTTACTGATTCGTCAATGCCCAAGCTAAACCCGTGGACCTAGAAAGCTAAAATTTTGCACAGATGTTTTCTTTATGATCTACCTATAGAAGAAGTAGGGAAGAATATTTCAAAATTCACCCCGGGTCAATAAAGATTCAAAAGGTTTACTTAGAACCTGCTTTTAGTGCTCTTTGATATAAATAGGTTTAATCATATTTGAACATTTTAGAAGATTCAACTTCAAGGGTGAAAATAGGTTGTAGCGTTTGTATTTGTGATTCAATTTACTTGAAACTTATTGGTGTTATTGCTCATTGATACAATTGAACAAATACGTATTTTTGGTAAATGCTATTAGCTCTTCAAATAAACAATAGGATATATGTTTAGCTCTACACAAAAAAGAAAAGAGAAAAGGATCTTACCTTCATCATTGTCGTCATCCACTTTGCAAGCAGAATTCAATGGGCTACTGGCCCTTCCAGTGACACTGTGACGAAGATGAGCTATATGCTTAGCTAGCAATATTGCATTTCTCTTATTTCCCGCAATAGCCTCAAAATCACTAATATTTAATTTGCACAAATCCTGTCCTGCATCCGGAAACTTTTTCGGATCAGGAGATGGGTAAAGGCTAAACTTTTTGGTTGCCCATTTCAACCATGAACGAATATGACCCGATGTCCACTCAATTGGATCTTAAACAAAATAAAAAGAATCATTACCTAATGATAAGTAATTTGATCAGGGAAAATCCTTAATAAAAATGAGTGATTCTTATTCAGTTATTTAACTGAAATGTTACAAATTCCGAATCAGCGATTGAATTACCTACTATGTTAAATAAGGCAAAAATAGAAACGAATTTATGTTTAACATCCAATTTATTTGGATTCATAGATAAGGAATCGTACAATGACTTTATAGCTTAAATTATTGGTAATAATTGATGATCTCTGTTATATGCACTTCATTTTAAAATCTTACTAATATAATTTGTTTAATGAACACGATTTACCTGAAGGGACAAGAACCATGGATTCATCACTCTCCTTGTCATTTTCTTCTTGTTTGTTCTTTTTGGCCTTTCCCACTTTGTTTTCTTTTACTTTTACGCAAAAAATATGGTCCTTTTCTGGTCTAGTCACTTCCTTGCATTTCAAGTTAGTAAACTCGTCTGATACTTTCGAAAACGTGACGGAATTTTCGTCATTAAATGCACTTTCGGACAAAATAAAGTCAACGGTATCTTCTCCAAAGGGACAATCATTGAGCGGTGAAAAGGCCGAGTTTCCGTTTTGCTCTGAACCCGTTGAAACGCTTTCATCACTAGCAGAATGCGTATTGTCTCTAAACTCATAAATGTTGGCAGATAAATCATTATCATTAGGCGTGTGGTAGCTGGTTTCGTTCAAAATTTTATCACTGCATATTTTAAAGTCACAGTTCTTAACCATGCTAACACTACATTTTGCCCGCACTTGATTATAAAATTCACTGGTGTTTGACGCAGCATTTGAAGATCGAACAACAGTTTCCGACGGCGAAGAAAAGTTATAACTAACACCGACGCTGTTTCGCGTATTATTTATTAGTCCATTGTTATGATTCACCTGTTGCTTTTCCGAATTCAACAGCAGTGACTCAGTGCACTTCCGACTATGACTCTTGCAGTTTGATTCATCGTCCAAATTTTCTTCGAACTCGTTCGAATCGTCATTGTCACTTTTTCTCTCGCTGTAACCACTCAGTAAATGCTTCAAAAGCTGCGACGGTGTTAAGTTGGCTAACAACGCGTTATCCGCCTCATTTGTGGATGTGCTTTTTAGGCCGTCCAGTAAGGCTCTTTGGAATGGGCTTTCTTCGGTGTCCAACGTCTTGGCGGTTGCAACGGAACTGGGACAATTAGATGCACCACTCGAGGTGTCCATGGTATGTGGGTGATTCATGAAGACTTCCACGAAACCGTCGGCATCAGGATCCTGAGTAATATTGGATGGTACAAGACGCGTATTACTTTGGATACGTACCATGTCAGATCTGGGAGCATATTTCTCATCTGTGTTTTCAAAACGCACACAGTTAGGACGGTTTTGTGAATCACCACCGTTTAGACCACAGGCGCCAGATGTAGTTCCGGTATTTTCGTTTTATTTTTAAACGACATTAATTAAATAATAGACAAAAGCTTCAGATAAAACTAGACAAGACTCTATACTACCAAAATCGCCAAGAAAATAGAGTGTTTTGGCTGGTGTCATGGAGTTTCTTCATTCTAATTTTCCAACCGCAAAGAGGATTAAAAAGTTGACAGTCCAAGGTCTGCCTTTCGTATAATAAATTGTTGGGGTCTTTGTAAAAAAAATTGCCGCTAAACTCCTAATTTACCATTGGCTAACTAAAAGTGTACCTACTGAAGTTGTTTTATCTTGAATAGAAAAAAACGATGAAGGCTCTTATTGGTTTAGAGGCACTAAAAAGGCGGCGAAAAGCAGTTTATTGTTTTATTTTTTGTTACAATGCCACCTCGATGTCGTTCACCAGGATCTGTTTAATCGTAAGCCATGGGAACTTCGCTGGTGGCACACGCATGACTATAAATCTTCCAATTTCTTTGTTTCACGAGTTTATCATTCATTATTACACAATTCTTTACACTACATGATTACATTTTCTATTATGAAGCTGCTAATATTAAGTAGCGTCATGCAGCAGGGAACTCAGAATTCCATTGGGAGGAAAAGAGGGTATTTCCAAAATTCGTTCCAAGCGTAGCGATGTCCTTTTGGTAATTTTAAATTTTTGAAATTCGTATTGATTAATACTTTACTTATTTCTAAATTTAATCTACCGCCCTGTATAACTAAAGAAGAAAATGCAAATGGAAAAAGTATTTTCCCCAAGCGTTGCCGTTTTTTCACTGTTATGGTAAATACCAAATTTAGCATTTGTAAATAACGCATTTAAAAATCTCCCACGTCTTCCTCTATCCGAATGTTCAAGAGGGTCGAGGTCTCGACAAGCAGTTCCACGAAAAACTTTCGAAAAAGACGTGTGAATTACGAGGGTGGATTGATAAGTTTCCGGCCTAACCAAGAGATGACGCCACTAGGCCTACCTTGAGGTGACATTCTATAGTACCATCCTTGGATAGCTTGTAGCTATAGTTTCAGCCCGATCTCCTTGCTAGTGTAGGTTTGACAGCACGCTGAACAAGACGCCTCTGTGGTTTTCGTAAAAATGGAAAAGCAGGAAAATCGTGCTGTCATCAAATACTTTTATTTGAAGGGGTTAACGCCGAAGGAAATTAAAAAAGAGATGGACTCAACACTGGGGACATCCTCCCCGTCATATTCAACCGTTAAGCAGTGGGTTTCCGAGTTTAAAAAGGGTCGTGTGAGCACCTCTGATGGGCCTCGCTCAGGACGCCCCGTTGAGGTCACAACTCCAGATATGATCGAAAAAATTCATCAAATAGTGCTGGGAGACCGCAGATTGAAAGTGCGTGAGATAGCTGAGACCTGTAAGATGTCATATGAACGTGTGCAACATATTTTGCACCAACATTTGCATATGGAAAAGCTCTGTGCAAGATGGGTGCCGCGTTTGCTAACAGTCGACCAAAAATTGATTCGAAAAAACATTTCTACCGCAAATTTGTCATTGTATAAGCGTAATCCAAGCGAATTTTTGCGTCGATTCGTAACCGTTGACGAAACGTGGGTCCACCACTACACTCCTGAAACCAAAGAACAGTCTAAACAGTGGATTGGACCAGGGGAACCAACTCCAAAGAAGGCAAAAACAATTTTTTCGGCGAACAAGGTTATGGCTACTGTTTTTTGGGATGCAAGAGGTATTATATACATTGATTACCTTGCAAAGGGTAATACTATCACTGGTCAATACTACGCAGACTTATTGCAACGTTTGAGCCACGAGGTGAAAATTAAACGACCTCATCTGGCGAAGAAAAAAATCTTGTTTCATCACGATAACGCACCAGCGCACACGTCAATCGTTGCGACGGCTAAAATCAACGATCTAAAGTTTGAATTGATGCCGCACCCTCCTTACTCTCCAGACCTAGCCCCGAGTGACTATTTTCTGTTCCCTAATCTCAAAAAATGGCTTGGCGGTAAGAGATTTGCGGACAATGAAGAAGTAATCGAAGCTGTAAATGGTTATTTTGAGGAGCTTGACGAATCAGTCTATAGAGATGGCATTAATAGACTGGAACACCGCTATGAGAAATGTATCAGCCTTGGAGGAGATTATGTTGAGAAATAAAAAAAAAAAATTTTTAAAAACCTTGTTTTTCTTGGTCAGGCCGGAAACTTATCAATCCACCCTCGTATATTATTATTACTGTGGTTATATTATTTTGTCAGCTTCGTGAATGCCAAACCATTTCGGCATTTTCAAAGAATGAATCTATTAAATGAAAGTCAAGACCATTATATTATATCTACTATATATAATGTGAACACAAAAATTGATTAATTATTTGTTGGAAGGCGGTCTTAAATACATTGTAGCGATATCCTAGTGATTCAATAAATTACCTACCGACGAGATGAAGCATGTCAAATTTATTAACTTTGGAGTAAATTACTTCTTCAAATATTTTTGCAAAATTAGAAATACGAGCAATTGTTCTGTAGTTGTGTAGGCAGTATTTTTTTTCTCCAGAGATCAAATTAGGTTTCTTAAAATAGTTAGGACAATTATTAAACTGGCTCTAAGAAGATGGAACCGTTATTGATTAGATCTTGCTTGAAATCAGACCCAGAACTGGATTCACTCGTGCAACTTTTGATCTTTTGTGTGCAATAGTCGAGAAATAATTATTGAAACTTTTAGCAATCAAATATAGCTGAGAAAATATTTGACATTAATTCTATCCGGCACTACAGAGTTGATTTATGTACTAGATCGTTTCTAATTTTATATACCTATTATGCACACCAACATAGTAGGTATTTAAGTAGTAAGACAAGAATCTGCCCTGGCGAGAAGTTCCAAAAAGAAATGGTGGGAACATTCCAGGGGTACTACTCATCTCTTTGCCATTTTTTCTTATTGTTCATTTGAATATTACAACCGCATTCCATTGATAGTTTCTGAACCGGTTAAACGTTTTTGAACAAGTAATTTTCCCCGTGTAAATTTCATTCATGGATGTTTTATTGTCTGCCTTTCAAGTTCTCATATTGCGTAAATAAATGTGTAACATTTTTAGAAATAATTTTGTCATGGTACAAGCAAATTTTACTTCTAGTTTACTTTTGAAAGTAAAAATTTCTAATGATTCATTTAAAGATTTATACCTATTTAAAGTTCTAAGAAATGTTTTGTTAAATAGATATTAAAAATACCACGCAGCATCTGGCAAACATATTCTATTTACTAAAATTATGAGTAATATGATTCATAAAATACACTGTAATTTATTGAGTACATTATTTTTTACTATTATATGATATGAATCATTCCTTGGAAGTGTGTTACTTCCGAGTAATGAAGAAATGAATGAATGGTTTTCATGAATGATTCCTACGTTGTCGTACGTACGTCTAGTTGCATATAGCGTAGGATACAGAATGTGTTTATAAACAGGGTAAATTAATTGTTACACAAATTCTCTTTCTGCCTATCATTCGAAATTCGAACATGGAAGTCAAAGACTCATGATATTTGCATTTACTTTAATTTTTGTTTTATTTGAATTTAGGTACTAGTAAACCTAGTCGTGATCTGTCAAAATTTTTTGGCAATTGGAATAACTACTCCTAGTCAATATAGTTGATTGTTGTGACTATGACCTTATATTGGATGCGACAATTGAAATTAGTTAAAATTGACATAAGTGTTACATATTTATCATAAAAATAATACCAAAGGGATTTTCTTTATTTATTTATTTAACAAAAAATAAATTATAAAATATACCTACATAAGTATTTACAAAATAGTTACATATTAGAAATTCCAGACTTTTCTATTTGTTCTAAAACAATCTTAACATTAATATCAAACAATTCACATCTAATTGGCATTTCTAATGAATAAAATGGATTTTTCAATGCATAATCCGCATAAAGTTCATAAATTCGCTTTAATAGTATATCCATTCCTGCTTGAGTAGGTTCAGCAACAACCATCATTTTAACACCAGTTAATGTTTGAAAACAGTGTAACTTAAATGTATCAGCTTCTAATACTTCTATCCCAGATGATTTTGGTTCTGGACTTAATTGACTAGCAATTGCAAAGAGAGGATAAAACATACTAGCTAAAAATATTTTTTCATTTGTAGTCATTTTTGGTCTTCCAAACTTAAGATTTAATGGATAATTGTTTTCATTTTCAATCACTTCAAAGGCATCTCTTCCATCGTCCAATTGCCTTCCTGTGACTGGTATTCCATTTACCTCATAAAGTACATGACCCACTGGAAAAGAAACTCAATTATATAGTGGCTTTGATTTGCTTTTCATTTAGGAATATACCTTTAATTCCATCTCTTTGACCAAACTCAACTGTTATCTTTTTGTTTTCGTAACGAAGTTTAACATCTAAAGGAAATGAAAATGTCTTTTCCGTTTCAATCTTAGGAACGTTGTGGTCATAATTAAATATCAATCCACCTGACTTTGATACAATATAAACTCCATAAATAACCATTTCTACAGGATGAGAACAGTAATCCTCAAGTACCTCAACTTCAAAACAATAATACTAATGTCATTGTGACTATATGCTTCGTTCACACGTTCTTATTCAAAATGGCCAAAATCATTTGAATGTTAATTGACGCTTAATCGCAGTATACATGATGATAGGAACTCTGAAATTCAAGCAATTTTCATAAAATTTGACGTTTTAACAAAAACTTATTGATATTAAAGAAAAATGAAGGCATTTTCTCAACTTACATTAATTCTGGTAAAAGCTTTTTCGTAAGATTTTATTAGAATTTTTTTATGACTACAATGGCCTTGTAAAGTTGAATACTAACGACAGTCATAGTCACGTAGTGGAAGAAAACATTTAGAAGTAGGAGCAAGGCTAATTTTAGTCATAACCTCGCTGTAGAAAAATCATTATTCAAATTTCATTAGCAAACATCCATATCTGCATGTATCATGTAATACCTAATTATAATCATTACGTATTACTACAAACTGAAATAGTCCATTTTAGTTATTAGGCATTTAATTATAGCAAACAAATCAATCTACAATGGATTTAAAGGCATAATCTTCTACTATTGTAATTTTTAAAGTTATTTAGTAAATGCTGATTTTAGGGTATGGCTGTGGCAGTCTTTAAAGGCATTCGAGATAGTTTGAGAGGAACAATTACATTGTTTTACATGGATAAAGAAATGAATGAACGAATGTTAAATAGATTATCACCAACTAAATCAGAATCTGTAAAAAGTGGTAGAGAAAGCGCAACTCCAACTAAAAACTTCTCCAAATTTGAGTGAGATGATAAAATTATTTGTACAAGTAATATATTTTAATGTGTTAAGTTTTTGACAGGGAATCGAAAGTTTTAAAGCGAACAATTCAGTGTTGTGCATTAAATGGGGGAGTATTTTTACTAAGTATACTTTTATTCGAATGGGGTCTATTGCCTAGTCTTAACTTTGTATTGCAAAAGATATTTGGTAAAGACTCTTTTATGGGAAATCTAGTTTGGTCCTGGATGGAACCGATCCTCTCTTTTACTTTCAAAACTTTCTGGGTTGTGCCATTGTTTTTATTAAGTAAAGTTGTTAATAGCTTATGGTTTCAAGTAAGTTGTCACCTTTTGTAAGAATTGTAATCAAACTAACTATTATATTTTAGGATATTGCAGATTCTGCATACAAATATAGTCGCAGACGTCATCAATTTATGCAAAGTATAAGTAAATTACTTGCTGATTCTATATTCAGTATAATTGTCCAAACGCTGTTTTTAATTCAAACAATGCTGGTCAATTTTATACCAATATACATGGTCGGTTATGGCCTTTATTTAATACATATGAGCCTTTTATATTCACTGTATTCATTTGAATATAAATGGTTCAATATGGGATGGGAACTTCACAAAAGATTAGCTTACATTGAGACTAATTGGCCATACTTTATTGGTTTTGGTCTTCCTCTGGCTATATTAACACAAATATCTGATTCGTGGTTTATTAGGTAAATTTAAGAAAACACTACTATTATAGTAAAATTTATTTAAACATTGTTGCTTTTCTAGTGGCTGTATATTTTCTATTTTATTTCCATTATTTATTATCAGTGGGAATGAAGCAGGGCCTGTAACAGGAGTATGGTAAGTTTCAGTAAAATCTGTCAGTGTCTTACCATTTTGAATGACTATTTCTAGTCAAAACAGTTGTTGGATTGTTGTGATGAAAAATAATTGGTTATGATACATGCAACAATTGAAACTAGTCATATTTGAATAGCATCTTTTATTTTAGTGACTATCCTCTTCATTTGTTTTCTCCAGTGATTGCTTTATCAGACATGATGTTTAATTCTACAATAGGAATAAAGCCTACTACCGTGAGAGTTACTGAAACATCCAAAAGATGATTATTACCTGATTTTTTACTGTCTATTTATTATCGGGAACGCATAAAAAAATCAAAATAAACTATATTTGTGCAAATGAAAACGCTTTATACCAAAGCACATTTATATGTGGATGCACACGATATCTTCTTTTTTTTTTACTTTGTAATAATAGCTTTTTTGCTGGTTTTATATATTTACTAACTGCCATGTTGAGAATACATTCAGTGCTTACTTGAAAAGCTGTTGTATTTATTGTTTATACTTGTAAATAAACGCATTTTATACCATTCAAAACGGTTTTTGTTTATAGGAAATGTAATATTTTTTAATTGTACGAATTTGCACGTTTAGTAAGTACTTATAATCTTTTTCATTATTCAAATGAACCTTACAGCTACATATTCCTTATAGTATTAGTATTTTTTGAGTATATTTCAGAATATTTAGGTTTATTGCTACATTTAGGTACATAAAATTTTTGTTGTGGTATTACATTTACTTCTTGTAGTTATCAGTAGAAACAAAGATGGGCTGACAAGTCTATTAATGTTGTATTGTAGTCATTTAGTACTCCAAATTACTTCTATTGTCAAAACAGTTGTGTGATTGTTGTGACTAAACAACACTCAATAGTATATACAACAACTGAAACTAGTCATACACTAATTGTCTAGTCATAAGACACCTTTGATTTATTAAACAATTTATTTATAAAACCAATATTAGCTTTATCTTTACCAATTCACATGGATAATACAATCTTTCTCAGTACCTACATAATAAAATAATGGATTTATCTGACAAATATTTTATATGACAATATATTTAAGGTTTAGGAAACATTTCAGGTGCCATTTTATATTTACAATAGTTGATATTTCTCTGAAGAGCTTCAAAATTCAGGCAAGCATCTTTGTCTTCAACAGAATGATCTCCCATTTTAGATACTTCAAATTTTGTCCATTTATAATTAACACATCGTCTTGCACCAGGTGAACTTTGTATCAAATTTGAGACAACAGGATGTGTTAAGCCAAAAAAATCCTTTCCTCTAGGGCGGGTGCTGACAACATTTAGCGAAAGACAATCATTTATTTGTTGTAATAATAATGAATGACAAATGTCTGCAGTACCACCTACAATACTCATAGAGTTGTCGTTATCAGTAGATATTTCAAATCTGGAAATGATTAACAATTAAAATTAAATGTTTAATTGATTTTCATTAAATAACCTTGGAAAACCATTGCTTTCTGAAATTTTACAAGTATATATGCATTTCTTTAATGGATCCTTAAAATTTCCATATATTCTTGTTGAAACATATCCCACTGGAAATATTGCTTCTTCACAATGAAATTCCAACTTATCTGGTATAATTTCTCCCAAACAGTGCAGCGTCAAGCTTCCTAGTTCTATTGGGAACACGGGTCTTCCACTTATATCCAATGGAATTGGTTGAACCAATTTTTTCCGTACTTTGGCAGATGTTTTCTTGCTCTTTACAGATTTCATGATTTGAACTCCTAGAGCAGAAAGTATATTTAGCATGCAGTATAAAATTTCTTCTTAATAGTATACTTTTATCTTTTTGAGGGATTATTTTCTTCTTTTTCTTTTTTTCAGAAACCACTGCTGGGCTATTAACTTCAGACTGAGGAAATGTAGTTTTAGCGAACTGTTGAACTTGTATTTCTACTTGAGGATCAAATTGACAAAGCTTTCTTAATAGAAACTTTCTTTCTTCCGTTCTAATTATTATTTGCTCTTGGACATCATTTATTTCATCTACAATCGCAGCATTTTCCTTAAAGCAAAAAATAGGTTACAAAATTTCATCTCACTGTAGGAATAGTTCAAAACCATTTGAGTATTTATTATTGCAGAACTTACGTGCACATATTCCCGAATTAACTGCTTCAGCTTCTTTAATTTGTTTCTGTATCTGCCGTCATACTTAATGTAAAGGTTTTTATTTACCATTTTTAAACAGTCAATAAAAATCTTCACAAAAATGTCAAGCTTCAAATAATGTCATAGTCAGTCACGTATGTAGGTCAGTCAATAATAATGAATATGATAATAATAATTACTACAAATGAAGATGTATTGACAGCCACTAGTCACAATGAAATAATAAACAGCCCAGGCATTTTTTAAATGTTTTTATTTATTTATTATTTTTCACAAAAATCTAAATTATACTTATGTACACAATATAAAACATTATACATATCGATAAAATTATTCTTCCGCTTTGTCAAGAAGATAAAATTCTTGCTCGTAGTTTGCCACAATTCTCTGATTTAGGGGATCGAATGGGCTGCTCTTATATAACACAGCTGAATGTCTTTTGTTCATAACTTCTACTTCATACCGTCCAGTACTTAAGAATAAATCGTCTACTATTTCACCATCAGGACGAGAAATATACCTTGAAATAACAAAAACATGATTTATTCCTTTTGTATCATTCATTTCTTTTGAGACTTGGAGGTAACCCTTACATATTATCTAAATTTCAAGACAGAAGCAATTCCCATTGTTTTTTTTTTATAAAAGATATAATTTGGAGTGAAAAGAGTACAAAATAAGCAACTGAATTAATATTCTTACTTACCCCACTCCAATACTACAGTCGAAATAAAATCCGTAATCTCCACGTCGTATATAACCCACGATTACGTCATCTCGCCATATTGGTTCCATTCCCCAAAGTGGTACAGTATTGTCGTTCAAAGTAATAAATACCCACCTCTTCTTAACACCCTCCGTTTGAAGTCTGTCAACGTGATCTTTTCCCAAAAATGATCCATTCTTTCTGCAAATCTTTCCAAGACCAGCCTCAACTGGATTGTCGTCGTTTCGCAAATCGTAGCCCCACAAATGATAACCTAACATTTGTAACGAATTTAATCGATGATTCTTTTAAACATTACGTTTAATAAATTACAAAAATCTTATTGAACCCCAATCCAAAATTATTACTATATTTCACCCAATAGCTTCTCCAGTACTTACCCCCCCCCCAGAAGAAAAAGTAGACATTTCTCTAGATGGAGTTGTATAAATAGTGACTGGAGTTCAATAAAGAAACTTTTGTAACGTAAACGCTGTTTTTCTGTTTGATGGAGTTACAATATCGACGAAACTCCTAAATATTGTAACTTTTTGTAGTTTATATTAAGTAGCATTTATAATTATTAACGGTCAAGTTTGTTGATACACGTAAAATCTGCAAGGCTCTTCTGATATTGATGGACATTTTGATACTGTGAAGAGTGCGGAGCTGCAGTCAATATTGGAAGAGCCCTGCAGATGACTCATGTGACTGAGGAAGAAAAATCAAAAGTTTATAGTCAATAAAACCCACGAAAACCTACGAAGAATTTCATTACTCAATCTTCATTATACTTAATTTAAAAAATGGTAGGAACTAATGAAGTATTGTATAATGTCAAAAATACCTTTTTCGATGGTCAAAGAGTTTAACGCCCTAAATCCTGCGAATTTGATTCCAAATATTCTGCCCGCTTCGGTCACCTGATGGTAGATAGGAATACATGACGCGAACGGGATGTGAAGTTGAAATCCCAATTCTCCAATCGTACTAACCCTCATCACTCTACAAACGTGTCCATTGATCTTGATGAGCATCGACATTCCAACGGGAATCGTCTCGTTAGTGATGGGATTTTCCGTGATAGACTGTAAAATTTCTCCACTGCAACAATTAATTAGAATAATTAGATTTTTACTTGCTAGAGTAATATGCTGCTTAGTTACCTTTTGGGGCCCTGAATGGAAAGAATTCCTATTTTCGGTGTGACTTCGGTCAAATGAGCTCTAAAGTTGTTCTTTTCTATTTCCCTTTGGATATGACTGTACGTGTGATAACCAGTTTCGCTACTAGCAACGATGTAATATCCAACCCCCTGAACAAAAATATGTGGATAAATTAATTTTCAGATAATTAATAAACATTTTAAAAGTAAAGTAACCTTAAACATTGGTCCAACAAGTGACCCTTGTCCCTGTGGTAACCGTGTAATCGTCAGATTAGCCTCAACTCCACCCTTGGAATTAAGGGCACACGAATATACGACCCTCTCGAGTTCTCTTCTAGTATCTCCAGTAAACAGCCAGTTTGCAGCTCTTTCTGCGTCTGGTCCAGTTAAAAATAGTTTTTTGTAGGAAGAAAGATTAAAAATGGCAGCACTGTTTCTAGCTGTTAGAGCTTCTTCTTTAATCTATAAAACATTGAAACATTTCGTATTCAAAATTTTAAATTCTGTTCAATACTTACTATATTATGGTGCCTCGAAAATCCAAAAGTATAATCTCCTTTCAAATGTTTCTCGTACCGCTTGTCAGGGTTATCCATGTGGTCGTAATGTCCATACCAGTCATATCCCCTTACAGGAGCAGTAGAGTCTTTAATGAAATACGCTGGTCTTTCCCATCCTTGTGCTTGCTCCATTACTGCCCCATTTGCCACAAGAATCTGTAAATAAATAGTCCAATTTACAATTAGTAACAAAACCCCTTAGTAAATTTAACCCGTTTTACCTCATGGAATACGTCGATCTTTAAATTTCTTCCTGATAGTTTCTGGTCTAAGGGAAATTTGATAGCATAATTTTTTGCGTAGCTTTCATGACATGTTTCTACCATCCAAGCCCGATTTGTTCTTTCAGTGTTTGAATATCTTCTAATGTCGTAAGGAAACATTGGAAGATCTGGTCTTCCTTTTTTTATCCAAATGGCTAATTGTTCAGCACAGCCGGAACCCAGCATTATCCCACTTGAACTAAACCCAGTTGCGTGAAATAGACCTAACGGATTATATTCGTATTGTTTTAAACAGAAAATATCTAGGCAAAAATTGATTCAAAAGTCAATAAGTATTCTATATGATTCTGGACGTTGTTGATAAAAACAATAGTACAGAGATACAAATTATAGTCTTATATGATGCTTATGAATAGGTTATCATTTAAACACTTAAAGATTTTATTTCAAATTGTTAAATTCCAAGAAAGTATTTGAATTTTTTGTTGCAGGTAAAATAAGAAGCAAATGGCTGGAATGCTTTGATACGTCATTGCGCAATGCGTGAATTTTAGCATGGATGTAGTCATGTGGTCATGTCCAGATTGAAATAATTAGGGAGGGAGATAAGCGGTTATCCTTTCTCCAGAGCGAGTTTCAAAGCGGTTGATGTAAGATCGCACGTGTAGTCCGCGTGGTATTCGCAAAAACGTGCTGTTGTTTTCCCGAACCGTTTCGACTTCCATCGAAAGCACTTCACGGGATTGATGGTGAGTACTAGTTTGTTATATTATGATTATGATATGATGATGAAGAGTACTTATTACAATGTATAAGTTAATATATGATTGGGCGCTACAATGTTTGGCTTTATGCGCCGCATGTGCGTAGGTAGAAAAGAGGTTAGATATTAAAAATGTTTCGGTGATTGTCATTTCTTGTTATTGTTCGTCATTTATTTTTTATTACATTGGTCAGATTGTGGATAGAATGCTGAATACATACATCTTGCAAGGGAATTCCTTGTAAAAATCTACTTTTTAATGGTAAATAAGGTAGGTTGGTACATAGGTAGATTTCTTTGTATTAAATGTATCAATCGTTTATTTATTACATTTAAGTAATGTCAATTACTTTTTATTAAATAATTTTGCAAACTCCAAATACTGTACCAATTATACCTAAAGGTATAGGTATTTTTAGATTTGATTCTTTTTAGGTATAAAGCGTGAGTTGCATGTCATGCGACTGTTATAAAAATAATTCCTACTGTAATTTTAAAGAAGTTTTCACTAAAATTAGTTTTTGCGGTTTTGTAAGTGTAATATACATATAACCAACCTGTTAGCTTTCCGTCTTCCCCCATGATGGGCCTTGAATCGGGTGTAAAATTTTCAGCTATTGAAACAGTCTTTTTAATGCTAGTTTCTTCTAAACTTGGGGCAATATACGAAGCCTTCTTCAGATGTTTTTCGCCCGCAGTAATGTTTGGTTGCAATAGTCCGGGATTTTCTTCAACCTGTCATCATGAAAGATTATTGCGGAAATAAAAACATGCGTCATGCTGATAGTTACTTCTCTTAAAATTTCAGGATTTTGTTCGTACCCTCCGATACAAATCGAACTTCCTTGAATTCTAAAATAAGTAGATCCGTCCATGTCTCGTATATTGGGTGTTCCTTCGATTCCTTGGACAGCTTCGGTCACCACGTAGGTATGTTTGATAGGTACCAGGGGAATTTCCTCTGCTACCATTTTTACTATGTCTCTACTCCAGAGACCAGCGGCGTTTACCACGCAATTGGTTCGGATGGTACCTTTTGGCGTAACGACGCCTACTACCCTTTTTGAGTATCCCGGGTGTCTATCTTCTGTAAGGATCCTTGTGGCCGGACAGTTCTCGTAAATCTGGCAATCATTTTTCGGGAAAATTAGTTTCTTAATCAAAAACGAACAATGGAGATTTGTACAGTACCTTTCCTCCATATTTTTGAGCACCCGTGAGTAACGCTTGAGACAGGGTGTTTGGATCAACACATCCATCTTCTGTTGAATATAGGGCTGCGAGAAATTTGGATGGGTCTAATATGGGATTAAGTTTAGCGGCTTCTTCAGGCGTGATTAGTTTACTTTCAATACCAAAGTAACGTCCCAGCGCCTGAATTCGTAAATACTCATTGATACGTTCCTGGAAAATTTAAAAATGCACTGATTCGGGTTTTGGGCTTGGTTATTTTTTATTGGTTTACTTACATCTTCCCTTGCAATCATTAATCCCCCATTGTTAATCCATCCGGGATTAATTCCCGTTTCTTTTTCTAAACTTGTAATTATCCTTTTTGAAGCTGTTAACAGTTGACAGTCTAGGTCAGTTTGCTTCAAAGACCAAAACAACCCTGCGTGCCATGATGGACCTGATATTATGCTACCTTTTTCTAAAAGGACCGCTTTTATTCCCTTTTTTGATAACTGATACAGAGTGTTACATCCTAGATTTCCAGCCCCTAAAATGTAATGGAATTGGTACCAAATGCGATCTTTAAATAAATAGTTAAAATGACGCTAATTGTTTACCCGCTACTTAATGTTGTTTTAAAAAGATGAATTATTATCGTCCTACCTGTTTTGGTCTTATTTTTTTAAAGACTGTTTTTGATTATGCATACTCATAATATTATTTTTGTTTCACAAATAACTTTATAATAACAAATACAGTTGTCTACATTTTACATGTAAGTATGTATCTGTATATAAACTTTATAAATAATGTTACATTCTTTTGCTAATGTATGTACATTCTTGATAATTTTACAATGAGTAGGTTTAAAAATTGTTTGCTTGGAACGTAAACATTACTAAATATTAAACTTGTGGTAGAGTCGAATTAAAAAATATTGAAAATTAGGTATTACTCAAAAAGTTATCAAATTTTAATTATAATTCTATTAAAACCTGAAAGAGTTTTAATTCACGCAAAAGAACAAAAATAGTGTCACATTCTTGTATTGAATAAGATATTTTCTTATCACTGGTAAAAACGAACTAATAAATATTATGTTATTTATAAAAAAACATCACGGTGCATATTTAGGTATAACCGACAATTTTGTCTTTAGTTTTTACGCTCATGTAATGCTTGTTTATAAAAATCTGAAATTTTGATTTTGTTATCACTAAGGAATATCAATAATCAAATTTTAGAATATGGACACAGTTTAAAAATAGGAAAAAAACGATTTTTTGGTCCTATTTTCTATTGCTTTTTATTCTTTACATGAAAATACATTTCCTAAAGAATCAAAAAAGTATTTACGGTTTTATGTTTCGAAAAACTTACCAATGATTACAACATCAGCTTGCACTGGAGGTGCGGGTTCAGATGAATATTTTTTAACACTGTAATGTCTCCTAATGTCTTTTAATTTAATATTTTTTCGTAGTACAAACGTGAACATTATTAACTTCAATTTAGTAATACGATAGGTACTTGGACGTCAACAAGTGTGTATTGACTTAAAAGGGCGAACAATACGCGACAGATAAACTTCACTTGCTTCTGCGGTATTATCAGAATATTTTTTGACCTCACTAGCGCTTGTGTACGAATTGCCCCTCGTTAATGTCATCAAATTAATAATCGTCATTACGAATCAACAGGCGCAATTATAAGCAATATGTATGTACATTGAGTTAGCAGCCAACGAAAATTGCGCTACTTTCTTAGTTGCTTAGCCATAGGTTAAAATGTCTGATTTTACAGATTGGCTTCGACATGCGTGTATTTTATAATATGTATTATGTTTGTTTAATTTGATGTTGGCTTTGTAAATAAACGACTAAATGTAAGTGATTCGTTATCCATCATGCTGATGATGTTTCTCTCGGTGATTACGTGATAACAGACATCGGTGCATTTTCAATTAATATTTTCTATAGCAGTATTAGCATCTAGCAAGGAGGACTTAGAGATAGCTTTAAATAAATGGAAGCGGTATTGACAAAACAGTACTGTATGAAAATAAATAAAAGGAAAACAAAAATACTGGTATGCAAGGGAAGAAAAAGTAGGAAAAGAGCGAATATAAAGATAGGAGATGAAAAATTAGAAAAAGTGGTCGTTTTCAGGTGTCTAGGAAGTCAGATAAGTCAGGACGGAAGGAGTAGTAGGGATATAAAGCAGAGGATAGCGCAGGGTCGAGTCGCCTTTAATAAAAAGAAGTTACTTCTATGCTCGCGAACGGTGAATTTAGAAATTCGAAATAGGTTGTTAAAGGTGTATGGAGCACGGCGCTGTACGGGTGCGAAACATGTACAGTTGGCGCGGCGGAAAAGAAAAGGTTAGAAGCGTTCGAAATGTGGTGTTACAGACGAATGATGAGGATATCGTGGATAGAGAAGGTTAGAAATTAAGAGATATTTGAAAGAATAGGAGAACAGAGGACTCTATGAAAGTCGATAAGAAATAGGAGAGATATGTTAGTAGGACACCTCAGGCACGAAGGTCTAGTCAGAGACATATTAGAGGCAGAAACGGAAGTTAGGAGTGGTAGAAGTAAACCTAGAATAGATCACTGATCGCAGATGGTCAAGGATAGATTTTAGCTCAGGATAGGAAAGAGTGGAGGTGCGTGTCCGATCAGTCTTAGGACTGACGACCTTATGATGATGATATATCACTTCATCATCGTCAGTTCTAGGACTGGTTGGACAGGCATCTCCACTCATTCCTATCCTGAGCTAATCTTCGCATTTTCTCTAAAACTAGAGCATTCCACACCTTAACTATTCGCGAACAGTAGTCTAATCTAGGTCTACTTGTACCTGTCCTTAACTTCCGTTTCTGCCTCTAATATGTCTCTGACTAGACCGTCGTGCCTGAGAAGGTGCCCTACTGTCTCGCCTATTTCTAATAGACTTCCATAGAGCCCTCTGTTCTCCTATTCTTTCAAATATCTCTTAATTTCTAACCTTCTCTATCCACGGTGCCTTATCATTCGTTGGTACCACCACATTTCGAACGCTTCTAACCTCTCTTTTCGTCCGCGCGCCAAATTAATTTTCTTTTAATAAAAAAAAAATCAATTCGAAACATATATGTAAATGTGTAAATAAATTTATTTCTGCTTTTTTCAAGTCTATCACAGCACGCGCAGTATAGTATAAACATACATACATATGTATAAATAAACAAGTACAAGATATTTTTGACTAAATATGTACAACAATAATAAATATTCCATTCTACTGATAATTTCTGAATATGATCCTTAAGGTCTTAACGGTTTCTTTGGTCTAGTGACACCGACGTATCCGACAATTTCGATTGGTCGTACTCCTGGTACAGCTTCATGTACAACGTTCGTAAGTTCCGCGTTATAAATTTTCGCGTGCGCCCTTGCACTGGCAGCCGCAGCTTCTTCGGCGAATTCCGGTGGAGCATTGGCTGCAGCCTTTTCGGCCGCTTCTATTGCCCCCTGAAACATAACAGTGGCTTCCGCTTTTGCCAATTTTTCGACCGCTTCCGTCAGCTCTGTGTCTTGTTCCCCTTTCATCCTGGATATAATTTCTATGCTGCTGGTCACCGAATCCAATGCTTGCGAATCAGACGTTGCTGCAAAGGAAAATGGGAGAATATTTTTGGAGAGGTGGAACAGCTTTTTTGATGAAAGGAAAGCAATGGTATAATGAAGTTTTACTCAATACTTTTATAAAAGAAAAATAAATTTTGACCTAAAGGTCTTGGCATCGAAATATTCGTGCTTGCATCGGCTGGACCATCTATCCTATACCGCTCCAGCTCCTTCTCCACAGCCTTGTCGAATCTGAAATAGAAAAAGGCGTTTTGTATTTAAATCGATGTATGTATCTGTTTGTAAGCACGTTATTGGGTTGTTCGGAAAGTCATTTCGTTTTTTCCCGACAGAGGATTTAATTGTATTCTTTTGCACCCAACTTCACATTTAAGCCGTATAATTTTTATATGCTTTGAGAGCTCATATAGCAAGGCTTGTGTGTGAAAAATTCCAATTAATTCTACGCAGTAGTTTTTGGTTGGTGCCCTTTTAAATATGGAGAGCGATAAGCAGCATTTTCGACATATCTTACTGTTTTACTACAGAAAGGGTAAAAATGCTGTTCAAGCCAGAAAGAAATTGACTGATGTGTATGGAGAAGGTGTGTTGACAGTACGCCAGTGCCAGAACTGGTTCGCTAAATTTCGATCCGGCAATTTTGATGTCGAAGATGCACCACGTTCGGGAAGGCCGGTTGAAGCTGATAAAGACGCGATAAAGGCATTAGTTGATGTGAACCGGCGAATAACAACACGTGAGATCGGATTGAGGTTAAATTTATCAAATTCAACAGTTTATGACCACTTGAAAGGCCTGGGATTATCCTCGAAGCTCGATGTATGGGTTCCCCATGTTCTCACAGAGAGAAATCTGTGTCGCCGCATTGACGTCTGCGATTCGCTTCTCAAACGTCACGAAAATGATCCGTTTTTGAAGCGCATCATCACTGGGGACGAAAAATGGGTTGTATACAACAACGTCAAACGCAAGAGGTCATGGAGCAAAAAAGATGAACCGGCTCAAACCATTTCCAAAGCCGATATTCACCAAAAAAAGGTGATGCTGTCTGTTTGGTGGGATTTTAAAGGAATCGTTTTTTTTTAGCTTTTACCGGATAACACAACGATTAATTCGGAAGTCTACTGTCATCAGCTGGACAAACTGAATGATGCACTTCAACAGAAAAGGTCAGAACTAATCAACAGGAAAGGTGTAGTGTTTCACCAAGACAACGCGAGACCTCACACAAGTTTGGTCACTCGCCAAAAGCTTTTACAGCTTGAATGGGATACAATGCTACACCCACCATATTCTCCAGACCTGGCACCATCGGATTATTATTTGTTCCGGTCACTCCAAAATTTTTTAGACGGTAAAACCTTCACCTCAAATGAGGAGGTCAAAAACCTCCTCGATCAGTTTTTTGCCAGCAAAGACCAAAAATTTTATGAGCGTGGAATTATGCTACTACCAGAAAGATGGCAAAAGGTGTTGGACCAGAACGGTCAATATATAATTTAATAAAGTATTTGTTTATTATACGAAAACTGTCTTTGATTTCCACAAAAAAAAATGAAATGACTCCGAACAACCCTATATTTTCGTATTTACCTTTCCAGAAACGATTCTTCATTTTCATCGATACCACATTGCATTTGGTAAGATCTTTTGGGCGATGCTCCTCCGCCAAGACGGTCTGATGACTTTGACTTTAGAACTTCTTCGCTCGTTGGCGATGCCGAATGACTTCTTACGTCGCCAGATTGTGGTGATCGCGAACAGCTTCTTAAATCGCCAGATTGTGGTGATGGTGATCCACAAATTTCATCTGATCTTGGCGATGCTGATCTGCCGGAGCCAATTCTTGAAATGTTGGGCTGCATATATTGGTGAGCAGTCCGCATTCCTCTCATAGGTCTCTAACAAGTAGCAATTGTAAAGCGTTAAATTCAGTTGTAACTAATAGAAAGAGGTCTTGCCTCTTGAACTATCGCTGATCCAAATGATTCGTGATATTGAGGCAACTGTCCAATTGCCGTCGACTGGAAGGGCATGGTGGAATCGACTCCGTATTTGAATGGTGACCCTTGAAAAAGCTAGAAAGTAATTGGAAACATGCTAGACAATAATCATCAAACATGAGTAGTAATCGAAACTTGAGTTATAATGAAAGTTAAAAATTTGAGATATTACCCGTCGAGGCTCCGGGTAACGTACACCACCTTGCATTGTGACCCTTGATGGTTCAATGTCTTCGCTCATTATAGATGGCGATTCACATACTTCATCTGAATGTGGCGTTACTGATCCACTCCGATTCCGCTTACCTGCGGCGCTTTGTTTCGAAACGTTGGGTCGAATATACTGGTAAGGAACCCGAGGTACTCTGACAGGCGCCTGCAAATATAACAGTCGCTTTCATAAAACAGCAAAATTATCTTCAACTGACATTGTTTATGTGTACTGGTGATGTTATGACAACATGCCTCTTTTTGAATTGGAGAACCGAAGGTTTCATGAAATTGTGGAAGTTGTCCTCTAGCAGTTGACTGAGCAGGTAAGGTCCTGCTGCCGTCGTACTTGTCAAATGACATCATATGTTGCACCTAAGATACAATGGGAAAAATGTTGTAACAGCAGCGATTGAAACTTGGTCTGTGATAGATAAATGTGGTAAAATCAAAATCTTACCTCTCGAGCTGCTTCAAAACTGAACGGTGATTGTGGAAGTGCATCGCTCGTTGGTGTTGGCGAATAACTTCTTAAGTTACTGGATTGCGGTGATGGCGACGTCCGAAGTCCTCTTGTAGGTCTCTGCGAATACAAATTTCGTTTTCATGAAACAGTATATGTATTTAAATTATATTCAGTTAACAATTAGGTAAATGAGACATCTTCATTTATATTGATGACTTTATGATAACGTGCCTCTCGTTGAATCGGAGAACCGAAAGTTTCTCGAAATTCTGGCAACTGTCCAATAGCAGTCGACTGAGCAGGCATGGTACGATCGAATCCATACTCGTTTCTCGAAGTTTGGTGTACCTAGAAAGCAATTGGAAACATGTTGAAGCATCGAAATACGGGACATGAGTGATAGCAACAAACAAAACTAGGAAAAATTGAGGTCTTGCTTCTCAATTGTCTGATGATGTACATGTTTCGTAACAGTTGCCCAGTAGCTGCAGACTGATAGGCATATCCTGGTCAAACTCATACCTGATTCGCTACATTTGGGGAGTGTAATGCGAACAACTTTTACAGCGTCCAATAAGCAAATGGTGTAGTCCCATAGAAATGTATATACATGACTTTGTATTTCTAATGTTGCATACTGCTTAAGAAGTCTAGATTTCTAATCGATAATGGTTAGTAGTTTATATGCTAAGTAGTAGGTACATCTTGGACCTATCTTTTCTTACATCTGCACTGCATAATAAGTCGTCCGATTGTGGTGAAGGCGACTGATAGAATTCATTGGATCGAGGTGTTGGCGAGCGATCCCAATTAGTACCTCCAGAATTCATTGACGAAACGTTGGGTTGCAGAAATTGCCTCGGGACTCGCAAACCTCTTACCGGTTCCTACACAAATTAAAACATAAAATTGATAAAATAAAGTCCATTAAGCAGAGACCAGATACATAATAGTCAACAGGGGGTCGAGTTAAGGTGGTTAAAATTGGCCAAATTGAACTCGAAATAACTGCTGTAGAACGAATATTAGATAAATCTAGTTTATTGTTCTACTACTCATAATCTTTCGTCAGTTTTGATAAATTCATTTGACAATGTTTTTATAAGAAACATCAGCATGTTGAATTGTGAATTTCATCTTTAAGTACTGAGTATGTCTGGCTGGCTTATGGGGTGTATGTTACAGTAAAATAGTAAAAAGTCTTACCTCCCGTTGGATTGGAGATACAGGCATCTCCCCAGAATTTTCGCCTACCTAAAATAGGGAACAACTTATTCGAGTCGTACGCATTTTATATAAAAAAAAATAAACTAACTCCTTCCGATTCAGATCCCTCTTCTTCCGTAAGCATTTCCTCATTACCTGTCGAGTGAGCAGGTACATTCCTGGCAAATTGGTACATGGTATTCTCTTGGTTCTAAAAAAAGTCTAAGTTACTTTTGTTAAATTAAATTATGAACTCATTACTTAATATAATGGACAATAAATGCCAGAATAAAAATTTAAGATTGAAAGTAAAACTGAAAAGTTACTCGATTTTGCCAAGCTTCATACTCTGCCCTGGCGTTACATGGAAGAAAACTTGCCCTTGATATAGGAATGCCAATACCGGAAAAAATGTTTTGGGCAAAACCCCGTTGTACGGAAGGCTGCAAAATAAATAGAGGTTTGTTACACCACTACCATTAAGCAGAATCGTTTGTAAAACAAGAATTGTACACATTTCCCTTTCGTCAACGTGCACATTATTGAAAAGTGTTTTTGAAATGACAATTACCGTTCTAAAAGTGCGACTTGGTGTTGGTTCGTGGTTATTTAGGGGAAGACGTGATTCCAATGTATGAGATAGATTTGTTAGGGGAGAAGAAGTAATTGCTCTAAATCCTGTTCCTTCGTTGCTATTTTGGGGATGATGTTCTACTGGTGGTCCCTATAAATTACCAGTTTTTATTTATATTAAAATGAACATAGACAATCACAAGTTAATCAGAATGTATGAATTTCTATAGTAGAATGAAGATTCGGGCTATAGGGCCGTGGTGGAAATGAACTATTCTGTCCAAACGTTTCGTCAGCTACTGCGGCTGACATCCTCAGTGGTAGTGCTGCGTTGACAACGTGAACGTAGACTATGATCATATGATCATATATAATCTATGTTCACGTTGTCGACGCAGCACTACCACTGAGGATGCCAGCCGCAGTAGCTGACGAAACGTTTGGACAGAATAGTTCACTTCCACCACGGCCCTATAGCCCGAATCTTCATTCTACTATGGATTTCAGCCGTGAAAGCCTTTGTTCTTATATTGTATGAATTTCTTATTTCTTCAAACAAATGCAATTGTATCACTATGAAGCTGAACTATTCCACTCGACTTTATTTGTAGGTTGTTTAAAATTCTTTCAATTCATTTTGAAGTTTTAATTCCTTAATTGGTACGTATTCTATTAAACCGGTTTATGGTTTTCTTTTTCATAATTTTGAACAGTATTTACTTCTGATCTTGCTTCTGAAGATGGTCTTTCTGTTTCTCCTTGGAGATGTATATTTTGCTGTTCTTGGGACGCATCCGCTCTTCCGTAGTACGTATTTGAAGGATTAAAATTAAACCCCGGCGACGAATTCCCTTGTTTCGACATTGTAAGGTACCAATTTTTTGTCAGTCCCCAATTGCGAAATATGTCCTTCCTTACACATCCAAGACGTCGTAAGCGATGCTCTGAAATAAATCTGGTAATGAAATTCTATTCTAATTTTGAAATTGTTGCAAAAAAACTGGATCGAAGCCCATTCCCGTTAAAGTAGGTACTTTTCGGAAAAGCCACAAATACCCTTGTCAAAAAATAAAGAATTTCGAAAATGACGTGAAATTTTCTATTGGGATCATGGCCTTCTGATTAATAAACAGTTTTAAAGTCACTCACGTAGGGGATTTTGGTGTCCGTTTGGGCTCTAATTAAATTTGGGCTATGCAATTCTTTAAATAGCAAGGAATTAAAAAAATGCTTACCTTTTTGAACCATTTTCTTGATCAAAAGGAAAACCGTTTTCCTGGGATTTTGAATTGAAATGATCATGTCATTGCCCTCTCCCCCCTAGTAATTAGTTCACAGTTACAGATTACCTAAGTAAAAATATTTCAGAAGTTTTTAACGTTCCCACTTTTACATTTACTGTATGTATTACGAATTGATACTGATATTTCTTAACGGTTTTTCGAACATTCGCATCTCCGCTACAACTTAATCATTGTTGTGCGCATCAAGTACAGCTAGCGCAAATAGGCATTTTGTAACGCTCGGCGCAAGTTTTGCTTAAGTTAAAACTTAATCAAAAATATAACTTGCGCAGACGTGACTTATTACAGTAAATTGCAACTGTAATTACCATTAAGTACATACTGAGCGAACATGATTTTAAACTGGAGGAATATTGACATATACAGGGTGAAGAAGTTCTATTATTCTTAAAAGAATTTTGTAAGTGGTAGTAACAATAAGGATACGTAGCTATATGTATAAGGATAAGGCACAGGAGGGAGTTTGTTGACAAAAAATACTAGGGATAATTCAACCTTGATTTATTCTGTTTATTTTTTGAATCGACCTTGTATAAACGTGTTTGTCGTTAAATCTGCCAATAACAGTATTAATGGCCTAATTACTCGCTATTTATTACACTACAGTTCAATTGATAACAGAACTTATTATACTTCGCTTCTACTGGTGTACGTTCGGTATGGCAACGTTGTTCTAGTTGCAATACAGTGCTGGTCACAGTATCAGTGGTGAAAGTGGCAAGTGGGAGTGAAAGAGATAATAGGAAAATAGAAAAGGAAAACATAGCAACGCGGACCGCGGAAACCAGTAACGAGTAAATTGAGAACGAGAAGTTGAGAAACGTTGCGGTTTCTCTTTCACCTGTCGACTTTTTCTTCCGATATTATTTATTAATTTTTTCATTTAGAACTTAAAAATTCTTCCAGATTATTTACAATAAATGATTGTGATAAATAGGTAGTGCCAAAACAGTGTTTTTTGCAATAATAACATTTAACAGCTGTCAGAAATGCTCTATCTCGTGCTCTTGCTATTTAAATTCCAATTGCTCCTAACCTCGTTGCATGCTTACAAAGTGAAGGATCCCGAAGTTACTGTGAATGCTTCCTTGACGAATTCCACGAATGGTTTTGTCGTTTCGCACAATGCGAATAATTCGAAAACTCCTGTTTCTGTGCCCACCGAAGGTGGAAGTGTGCCAATAACTAAATCTTCATCTCCATCCCAGAAAAAAAGTGAAAATGACCATCATGTGAGCGAACATATTGTAAAAAATTATTCCGATATCAAGAAGGGAGATGGAAGAAACGTATCAGTGCCTTTAGTAGATAAAATTAATAATCCGGTTATGAAGATAAACCAAGACCTTGGTGAAGGAATTCCCGGAAAAAATGATAACAAATCGGTATCATCCCGTAAACTCACGAGCAGCGTTTCGGTTGCTAATTTAACCGCTGCTCCAGTCACAAAAAAGCCTAAAAAACCTACGATAACGGAGCATGATGAATCTTACTATGTGCGTCAGACATCGCAAAGTGCTGTTCCTGAACCTAAACCTAAATCAGACAGTCCAGAATCATCGGGAGTATTTAAAGCACCTACCACGAACGAAAGACAAAAATACCTCATTCCGATTGTTGCCGTTATTTTGTCGGTGCCTTTTGTTGCCATTTTGATATCGTTAATTTATAAGAAGGGCTCAGATTGGTGGAGATACCGGCATTACAGACGAATGGATTTTCTCATCAATGGAATGTATGATACATGAATATGATCCCGTGCAGTGATGGCGCAAACAGGCAGCTTTGTCACAAAAAATAAGTCCAAAAGTCATCTTAAGGATGTTATAGCTACTTTTTTGCAAAGGCATAAAGAATCTTTTTCCTTTCTTTGCATTTAATCAAAAAACGTCAAGAAAACTATATTTTTAATGACATTATCTGTTCAGGAAATGATGCTATCAAATCATATGTACCACTATGTAGGTGTATAGGTAGTTATCATCATTGGGGTTTTTAATTTCATAATTTTTGCGAAAGTGGTAGATACAACCTTCTTAAGTGAGACATTCTCGTAGTAATTTTTATCTCGTCTACGTCGTAATATGATCAAAAGCCTCATTGGATTAAAAAGTACAGATATCTATGTTGACATTTTGCCTTGATGAATCCTCAAATTTGAGGCAAAACGTTAGTGTATTAGGGCGATATTATTCCTATTATAATACATACTTTTTTTGTTTTGATGTCATCACTGCTACTTCGTGGTACTTGCATTTGTTTTTTGCTTTTATTTTTAAATTTTATATTGACAATGCATAATTAATTAACAACTAAAACATTTGGTGAGATTAGGCTGGCTTATATTTTACTGCGATAACTAATACATATTTATTTATACTTACCAAAGCTTTTTAACGAAAAAAAAAAAAGAAATTTTAGTTATCTGCTTAATAGTGTTTTTTTGGTATTTAAAAATAAATTATAATTAACGTGTGGTTTTCAAAAAAAAAAATACTACAATGAACTGTGATATGCATCTATGCAAATTTTTAATTACCCATTTTTTTTAATTTCAATATTAATTATTTTGAATTTTATGTATCAACGTACGACAAATTTTAGTGCCAAAGAGGAGTACTGATTAACAATAATATAACGTTTATTGTATCCACCAACAATTTTCTAATTTCACTGATTCAATGCAATAATACTTATACATAGTGCAATTTAATTACCTGTCTTAATTAGGTGAATATATGAAATGTATTTTCGGCACAAATACTATGTATTGTAAATGACTCAATTTTACTGTGATTAATACTAATGGTTTGTAAATATAATATACTAAATAACTATTTTTGTACAAATTAAAAGCAGTGTTTTGTTATCGGAATGCATAAATTAATGAAAACTATTAAATAATAAGTTATAATTGTTTGTTTTTCTGAAACGCCCCATTCAAAAAGTGTTCCGTGTTTATAAAGCGTAATATAAAATCAAATATATTATATGTCCATTAATTGTTGAGGTTTTTAAACGAGGGTTTTCAATTGATGTCATTATATTTTATTTATTTATTTATTTGGATACCGAAAAAAGATATTTTGTTCCGTGTTAAGCCAATGAACCAAAACTAATTACATATTTATATTAAAATGTAAATCATTATTAATTGATTATTAAGTAAGTCCAATGAAATGAAGCAGATTAAAAAAAAATTTTATGTGTTAATTAAATGGAATATATTATACGTTTTTATCGTATTTATGCAGGCAGGTACAATGCGTAACACGCTAGCAGATCACATAATTCAATCCCCCTCATCTAAGAATATGAGTAATTTGTAGTGAAAGGATTTTGTGGAACCCATTGTACTGTATGAAAATAAATAAAAGTAAAACAAAAATACTGGTATGCAAGGGAAGAAAAAGTAGGGGAAGAGCGAATATAAAGATAGGAGACGAAAAATTAGAAGAAGTGGCTGATTTTAGATGCCTAGGAAGTCAGATAAGTCAGGATGGAAGGAGTAGTAGGGATATAAAGCAGAGGATAGCGCAGGGTCGAGTCGTCTTCAATAAAAAGAAGTCACTTCTATGTTCGCGAACGGTTAAATTAGAAATTCGAAGAAGGTTGTTAAAGATGCATGTTTGGAGCTCGGCGTTGTACGGGTGCGAAACATGGATAGTGGGCGCAGCGGAAAAGAAAAGGTTAGAAGCGTTCGAAATGTGGTGTTACCAACGAATGATGAGGATACCGTGGATAGAGAATGTTAGAAATGAAGAGGTATTAGAAAAAGTAAAAGAGCAGAGGACTCTATGGAAGTCAATAAGAAATAGGCGAAATAGGTTGGTAGGACACCTTTTCAGGCATGAAGGTCTAGTCAGAGACATATTAGTGGCAGAAACAGGAGTTAGGAGGGGTAGAGGTAGACCTAGATTAGATTACTGTTTGCAGATAGTTAATGATATGGGTTGTTCTAGTTTTAGGGAAATGCGAAGATTAGCTCAGCATAGAAAAGAGTGGGGTACGTGTCCAACCAGTCTTAGGACTGACGACCTTATGATGATGATGATGATGATGATGATGATGATGATGATTGTTCCCCAGAAATCTGATGATCTGCTGCTATATTGCTTGAAGTAATCCAGCAGATCACATATTCAACTCTCGCATCTAAACATTGAGTAATTTCTAGTGAAAAAATTTTGTAGAGCCCGTTGATCTCAGAAATTGGATGATCTACTGTTTGCTTGATACAATTTTCTGGCTCCAATCTGCTTCATATTTTGTGGCTAGTTTGTAGTGAAACAATTAATTTTTTGGAGCTTGTAGTTTTCAGGAAATTGAATAATCTTTTGCTAGCTATAAATTGTTTGATTTTCCGAGATCAGTAGACTACAAATTTAATTCTTTCATTTTATGTTGGTTGCAAAATATGACGCAAATTAGAGCCCAAAATCGTCAGAAACGAATAGGTATGTGATCTGCTAGTATGATACCAACGTAACGGCAGGGCATCCGGTTTCTGGGGATCAATAGGTCACACAAAAATCTTTCACTTCAAATTACTCATATGTTTAGATTCAAGGGTTGAATATGTGATCCGGTAGGATGACTTGAAACAATGAGGTAGTTGATCATCCAATTTCTGTGGATCAATAATCAATCAACAAAATTTTTTCACTAAAAATTACTCATACTTATTCTTAGATGCGGGGGTTGAATATGTGATTTACTAGCATGATATCACGCCAGTAGATTATCCGATTTCTCGAAATCTGTAGTCTCAACAAAATTCGTTCTTAATTCATTAACCACAAATTGTTGTTATGTTTAGATGCTGAGGTTGAACATGTGATCTGCTAGCGTGATATTTACTCCACACCTACACTGCATTCACACGTATGTTACGATTTGTACTGGATAATCTTTTATACTTTTCGGCATTACTTTTTTCAAACAGGTTCTTGTTCATTTGTTTGTTGTTTAGGGATCGCGCAACATTTTTTTTTTAATTGTACGTTCTGATAAAATTGATCCTAAAAAGTATATTGGAAAATATTCTTTTATTTCATAATATTTGGAAATTAAAGCGAAAGACAAGTTACAATTACGTATTAGTTTATTCATAATTAAATATTTAAATGTTTATATCACATACAGTGTAGCACAGAAAAGAAAAAGAAACCAAATATTTCTAATATCTTCTTAGGTACGTCGTTTCATACTGTGCCCTCTCTTCCTCTCGGCATGCCCCCGTAAAAATACAATAACAACACAATACGAAAAAAAAAATAATAAGATTGTTGCAAACTCTTCTAAATATTGCAATTTCTATCACTTGTTATAAGTAGATAAATACTTTTTATTTAATACACAACATACATGTGTGTACATGTACGTTTATCGTTGCTTTCCCAGCTTGTGCTTGGGAAGGGGATCCGGAAACATTTCCCTTGCCGGAAGCATACTTAACATCATAATGTGTCGCGCATAGGCCCGTGTTGCTCTGAAATTCGTGTCAGTACCGTGCAACCGATCCAAGACACCCAAAACTCCGAAACAATTGTTAAACCTACAAACAATGACGAAAAAGAAACAAATGAGTTTCAAACGATTAGGTAGAGGTGATTTAGAACAGCATGAACCTTGGCCTTGGCTTACGCATTGACAAAACTCCGCCCCTTTATTTATATCTACACTTCTACTTCTTAAAAACATTGGCTATCAACTTTTAGTTTATCTGGAGCTGGTTGTATAGTGAGATAAATGGTTTGAAGTTTGAATCAATTGAATATTAGCCGAATCAGTATACTTTCTAAATATATCATATGAGTGCGATAAGACACGCCTCTCGCGCACCGGAAGGTTCATGAAATTCTAAACAACCTATACGTATATGCTCATTCATCTTCACTGATTCTTACTTTAAATGGTGAAAATCGTGGGCTTCTGGAGATGGAAAAAAGGGAAGATGATAACCTGAATGTGCATTTAGCGTTGACAGTATCGCCAACGAAAACCATAACCATGCAGTTGCTACATGTGATCCCATAATAAATACACCCAAAAAGGGCGGAACCAGGTTCGAAAATATATGCTCCAAGGGATGGGAATATATAGCTGTCACCGCTACGGGTGCAGTCCACTCGTGGTGTTGTTTGTGTATATATTTGTAGAGATACCGGGAATGCAATAATCTGGCAAAAAAACAGTCCATAGTTTACAAAAGTCCTTCGGTCAACTTCAAACAAGTAAATTATAAAAATTTAATTTATTAACCTGTGAGAATAATAAAAGCCAACTTCTTCCATTAATATATGCATTGCCAGTTCGTATAATACCCAATGGAAAGTGGGCAATTCCCTAAGGGATGGATATCCTCTCCATTCCATTAACCAAAAACTTAAGACTGAAATAGGGAACCCAACGATAACTTGGTTAACGATTACACTTCCAATTACCTAAAGAGAAATTATTTTTGTTCATATCTTAAATTTATTAAACATATCAGAAAAGGATGAAGATCGAACATAGGGATGCAATTATCCTTAGAAAATTTGGAAGAGGAATAGGAAAATTCGTACAAATACATTCAGCCACATTTCCCTATAAATAGTAAACTAGTACTAGTCCAATATATGCAATTTAAAGCTATTAAAGAGTGTTATGGTTTGTTCAAAAGACTTTGAGAGTTTTGATAGAAGCAGGTAATACTTTTAGATAGACGTGAAAGGGCAAAAGATTAGTATGCTTAGATTTGCAGATGATATAGCAGTATTAGCATCTAGCAAGGAGGACTTAGAGATAGCTTTAAATAAAATGGAAGCGGTCCTGACAGATCAGTACTGTATGAAAATAAATAAAAGTAAAACTAAAATTCTGGTATGCAAGAGAAGAAAAAGTAGGGAAAGAGCGAATATAAAGATAGGAGACGAAAAATTAGAAGAAGTGGCTAATTTTAGATACCTAGGAAGTCAGATAAGTCAGGATTGAAGGAGTAGTAGGGATATAAAGCAGAGGATAGCGCAGGGTCGACTCGCCTTCAATAAAAAGAAGTCACTTCTATGCTCACGAAGGGTTAATTTAGAAATTCGAAAAAGGTTGTTAAAGGTGTTTGTTTGGAGCGCTGCGTTGTACGGGTGCGAAACATGGACAGTGGGCGCGGCGGAAAAGAAAAGGTTAGAAGCGTTCGAAATGTGGTGTTACCAACGAATGATGAGGACACCGTGGATAGAGAAGGTTAGAAATTAAGAGATATTTGAAAGAATAGGAGAACAGAGGACTCTATGGAAGTCTATTAGAGATAGGCGAGACAGGTTAGTAGGACACCTTCTCAGGCACGAAGATCTAGTCAGAGACATTAGAGGCAGAAACGGAAGTTAGGAAGGAGGGGTAGAAGTAGATCTACATTAGATTGGCGAATAGTTAAGGATGTGGGCTGTTCTAGTTTTCGGGAAATGCGAAGTTTAGCTCAGGATAGGAAAGAAAGAAAAAATGCAGCCAAAGAAATGTGCAATTTATATGTCTTATTATTTGCTTTACCTCTATAAGGATAGGTATTTTTATTTATATTTATTATCATCTACTATCTGTCATTATGGTAATGTCTACGATAATGAAATCTAAAGTATTTTTTCCGTACCTTGAGAAGTTTTTTTGTATCGACGGGTTCGTTAGTACCTGGTTGGATTTTGTATCTTCGGAGGGCTGCAGGTTTATTTGTGACGTCTAAAAACGTGTAAATGCCGCCGAACAACCAGTACACCCCCATGGTCAGTAAGATGGTTCCGTAGACCCATAACTTAAACGGATCTTCGCCAAAAGTATCCAGAAACTTGTCCCACTGCGATTGCCAGAAGTCACCGCTCGCACCCCAGAATCGTTGACAGTGCCTGAAACAGTTCATTGCTGTAGGTACCGCGAAAAGGCCACCACAATCCTTCGTTATCCTGATGCAAGTCGGACTCGGAAAGAGTTTGTTTTACATAATAATTTTAGAACACTTTTCCTGTTCAATATTACGATAACTGTTCTTTTGTTTTATTCGTTTTTAATAAAAGACTGTCGTATTACAGCCGCGGTCGCGTTAGTGTAGACTAACTAAATACTTAAATACAATAATTAAAGCCCAATACAAGCAAATAAATACATCAGTAATGTCGTCCGTAAGTAAATAAAAATGAAGATCGATGAGAGTGTGACAATTGAAATTATACAACGCAGAATAAATTGTTCAAAAATTTAACTCGGTAAACCAATGACTGTTGAGTCTCCGTTTTCAGTTGACTAAATAAATGTTAATAATTAAAAGGAAATTGCGGGACCAAATGACATGATGGTTGTACCTACCATTATATTGCGTTGCTGTAGAATGGTGGGAGTTGCGAAATAGGCTGTTTTTATTAGGCTTATCGTTTTATGACAATAAAAACAAAGTTGACTAGTTGTTACGATTCGATCTACAGATACTAATTTCTTTGTTCTCGTACGGATTTGTTTTTAGATAATAAATAATCTTTTTTTACTAATAGTAATAATAATTATTTTTTAATCTATACATCGAAGACGCGATCAACAATTCATTCAAGACAGTACAACTGTAGGGATAAATATTGTATTTATTGTCAAAACAGTATTGCTCGAAGATAAACAAAAATTATTGCATGCAAGGGCAGAAAAAGTAGGGAAAGAGCGAATATAAAGATAAGAGACAAAAAATTAGAAGAACTGGCTGATTCTAGGAGGTCAGATAAGTCAGGGGCGGAAGGAGTACCTAGTAGGGATATAAAGCAGAGGATAGCGCAAGGTCGAGTCGCCTTCAATTATTTTAGAAATTCGAAAACGATTTTTACAGGAGTATGCTTTGAACGCTGCGCTATACGGGTGCAAAACATGGACGGTGGGCTATGCGGAAAAGGAAAGGTTAGAAGCGTTCGAAATGTGGTGTTACGGGCGAATGATGAGGATACCATGGATAGAGAAGGTTAGAAATGAAGAGTTGAACAGAGGAAGTCAATAAGAAATAGGTGAGATAGGTTGGTAGGACACCTTCTCAGGCATGAAGGTCTAGTCAGAGACATATTAGAGGCAGAAACGGGAGTTAGGAGGGGTAGAGGTAGACCTAGATTAGATTACT